CCATAGTTTTATTTCACAGACGAGATATATATATTTGTCAAGAGAACTAGCAATGGATTCAATCGCAGGATGAAATGGATTCATGCCTTTCTGAAATGATTTTTATACAAATACAATCAGTTTCAACTGAAATTTGAACTTGACTTGCTAATTCCATGTTCCATGCATATATCCATTACGGCTCCTTGCACCTTCAATAGACAAGAGGTAAAAAATAAGTAGAAAGATATGTAGTATATGACTTCTTTCCTATGATACCAAAATAGAGTTTGCCCTAAGTGTCACACGTGTCCATAGAGAAGTCATGTGCATCAACAGGATGACCTAAAAGATAGACTCCTAACCAACAGATAGACATCTGCGCCTCACAGAATGTCATCCCCGAACGTAAACAATGGTCGAACCAGCTTCGCTGAGGACGTGCATACAAGAAAAAAAAGCTGATAACAGATATATACGCACCCACCCGAGAGAGAAAAGAGTGAACTTGGTGTATGCTGAGTTGAATAAACAAAAATGGTATATTGAGAGATTGACCGTATTTGACGGCATATAAGGCGCACTTTTTTTTTACTAAAAATATCTTTTAAGATATTTTTAGTAAAAAAAATGTGCCTCTTATATGCCATATGTAGGTTTGAAATTCGCGATAGTCGACCGAAATTAGCTACCAGGCAACTCTTATTAGCTTAGACTTTAGAGTAACTTTTATATACATCTTGTCATTATTTAAAATACTATTATGCAGATTAGAAATGTTATCATTGATAATATTCATTATATTAATTTCATCACGTTTAATATTACTACTTTTTTTCACTAAAACTATACGGGAGATGACGCATTATTTAACGACGATGATAGTAGTATTGAAAATGATTATCAGATTTTGATAACGAAGACGACGAATTTTATGGATTTGAAGATGAATAAAATTTTAATGGTAACTGTACTGTTTTGCTCAATTGCAATAATTGCTTAATTTTTATTTCATTTTCTTACCTTTGGATGTAATAAAGTTTTTATAGGCTCGTGTTTTTTTTTCTATTATTTTTCATTTGATTGTAATCATGTCTTCTTTAATCAAAATAATACCTCATAAATATATCCTTGGCTGTAACATTTACTAATGATTTTACTAATTTTACTAATTACTAATTTTTTCTTGATTTGCCCTGCTGAAATTGGGGTTCGTCTTATACACCCGTCCGTCTTATATGTCGTCAAATACGGAAGTTATAACGACAGAGTTTCACCCTTTGACACGTCCCTAAGTCGGGTTGTGAGGCTGTGGGAAGCACAGGCAGTGAGTTTTACTACCTCGAAATTATGAATCATCAAAACAAAAATCCCAAACCATTTCTTTCAGACTCTGATTCTGAAAAAAGAATTGTCTATAGACTTCCCAAGATTCCTCGTGCTCGCATTCCTAGATGAAACTCCTCCAGCAAAATTGTCACCCTTTCTTAATTGAAACAGTTCTATCCAATAGGATTAACCGCGGTAAAGAAATTGTGAAATGGCAATTTGCTGGTAGAAGGAGTACTTAAAAAATACACCGAAAGTATTATCAAGATAAAAACTTTTCAGAACCTGAAAATAAAAACCTTTTGAACACTTCTAAAGGAGTCATTAGAAGCAGAGAGTTACTTCTGGTCAAACGTGAGGAAAACACATCTGCCTTCGGGATCCGTGGGGGGGGGGGTCAGTGATTACTGAAGAATCCCAGTAAAAAAAAAAGAGAAACCATAAAAACAGACCCGTATATCCTTACATTTGCCACGCCTCAAATGCCTAGAAATACAAAAGTCGAGTACAATATTTAGCCAGTGGAACAATATATCCCTGCTCTACTAAGGAGCTTTAAGTGGCAAAAATTTTGCCATCGTAGGGTTAGCTGCAGGAGTTGGTCAACATGTGGAAAATGTTGCCAAAGGGATTCAGACCACGCGGAAGAAGAATGTCAGTATGAAATAAGGATGTGATAACTGCCAGGAAAATCATCCAGTATATTCCATGATGATGCGGCTTCTAAGAAAGGGGAAAAGAGAGAGCCGAGGTAAAACATAAACGAAATTTCTCATTCATACAAGCAAGGCAAATAGTAGAAACCTACATGAAATGCTCTTCCTATGCAAACGTAACGCAATAAAAGACCACAAGCAATAACAGTCAGCCTGATAAATGCAAAGCTTTCATTGAGAATTTGGTACACTTAGCGACAAATGACTGGCCTAAATTTCAAAACTACCTAAAAGATATATAGATCCAAGAAATAGTAAAAACTGAACCAAAACAGAAATCTAATGAAACGATTGTAATAATAAATAAAGTAGAAACAAACACAAAATCGGCCACTTTATACACAAACCCAAACCATTGTTGCAAAAAATTCTAAATACAAAATCTTCAAAAACAAGCCCTACAAAGCAAAGGTCACAACGATCTCAAAACCGCCCACCATATACCATTTAAAAAAAAAGTATACCCCCCCAAAAAAACTTATACCCCCCACCAAAAAAAACAGAACCAGCCAATCAAAAATCAGAAACTCACATCGACCAAATTCCTATACAAAATTGATTTGTCAAACTATTAGAAATGGAAGTGCATATACCAGAACACAGAAACAGCCAAAACCTCCAAACTCAAAACTGAGGAAAATTAAATCACAACACCCAACACCACATACGAAAAGCTTGAAAACATTTACTAATTGTATATGAAATAATCCAATTGAACTGCCGAAGAATTAAGGCAAATATAAATGAGTTGCTTCTATTAATAATAGAACTGTCACCGGTAGTGTTTGCCTTCAAGAAACAGTCCTTAAACAAGATGGCATAGTAAACGTAAAAGAAGACCATTAATACAACTACACACATTGACACTGGGCTTCAAGCTTCAGGTAGTACATCCATCCTAGTTAAAAATAATGTACTTTAAAGTAGAATAAATTTAATAATTTTACAAGCGACTGCTATTAAAGTCACTTTAAATATGCCAATAAACATCTGCTCAGTGTATATCCTACCGAATGTACCAGTAAATGAAGCTGAAATTCATTAAATTATAAGATAATTCTTTGCATCTTTTTTATACTAGGCGACTTTAACTGTCACAGCACCAGATGTGGTTGTAAAGACGCAAACCAAAAGAGAAAGACCTTAGAAACAATAATTGATAACAACGATTTATGCATTTATAATAATCTAATAATGTACAGATCTAGACATATGCATACCTTAAATAGACAACTCTAACAATGACTCAATAAAATACAAAAATGGGCCACTGAAAATGGTTTTACCTTTTCCAGAGCGAAAGCCAAATGACTACATTTCTGCAAATTAAGAAAATTGCGCAACGATCCATGTTTAAATTTAGACGGAACAGAAATCCCAGAAGAGGAAAAACACAGGTTCCTAGGTATGATCTTTGACAAAGAAAATTAACAATCATTCCCCATCTATAATATTTAAAAATAAAATATAGCAAAATCATCCAACTTATGTGTGGAGAGCAGATCGACAAATACTTATTAAATTATACAGAATACTACTTCGCTCAAAACTGGATTACGCTAGCTTCATATATGGGCGGCCAGAAAATCGTACCTAAATATACTCAACGCAACCTATGGTCAAAGCCTCGGACTAGTACTTGGCGCTTTTAGAACAAGTGGAGAGCTTACATACAAAAGATAATGAAGCACTTTCATATATAAGGCGAACTAAACTGACAGAACAGTACTATGTCAAGATAAAATCATGCCAACTAACCCAGCTTACAGCAGCACCTAATTACTGTGATCTATTCCAACAAAAAATATAATACCATGCAACCCTAGACTGAGGATAAAATCTAATGTTGAAGAGTCAAAGACTACACTCTCAAGCATAAAAGAAACAACTGCAACCACATTTCCACCATGAACAAACAAACAACCTGAAATATTTCTAGAATTAAATAAACTACTAAACAAAGAATGCACTCACTGACATTCCAGGACAAGTTTTAGGGTATATCAGAAAATTACATTAACCATATACTCATCTATGCAGGCCGGTCAAAGTGTGAGGACGAGAGAGAATGTGCAGTAGTGAGCAAAAATATTACAGAAAAAAGGCCTCCTAAAGGGAGGCTCTATTTTCACTGCGGAGGCTTATGCAATTGAGTTTTTCGGATTCACTGTCCGTCCTGATGGCTTTGAAGGAAAAAAAATCCAACACCTCACTCATTATAAAAATAATATGCAAAATGTAAACATAAAGACATCGAACTATGTTAGATTCCAAGCCACATCAGAGTTGAAGGTAACAATAAAGCAGACGTAGCTTTAGATATGGATGTAGATTTCAACGACCAAAATCCGAATCACTGACTTTATGGAGGTCATTAACAAATACATTCAAAAGGAATGGTAACGGTGCTGGGATGATAACTCACAGAATAAGTTCTCCACAATTTAACCCAAAATCTCGAAAGAAAGAACTGGCTCGCTTACGCATTGGTCACATGCGAATAACCCACTCGTATTTGGTAAATAACAAAAATCAATCAGTATGCCAAGCATGTGAAACGACGACCACTATTAAGCATATATTAACCGAATGTTCAGATATCGCTCTCTAAAGACAAAACTTCCATAATATAAACAACATGTATGAGATTTTAGAGAAAGCGAATGTGAATGACATAATATCATTTCTTAAAACAGTGGGTCTCTACCAATAAATATAAACCAAATGAGAATGTCAATAAAATCAATTTCTCTAAAAACTGTACATCTGAAAACAATTCATCAATGAAATCAGATTCCCGACGAAAACCATCTTGACAAAAACGCTCAGTATGAGAGAGTTTTTAGTTTTTATTCACATGGGAAAAGTCGACATGGGAATCATCGATATATGGTGACTATCAACTTCAAGTCTCAATGCGATTTTAACGGCAAATCGTCTTGAAGGTCACAAGAAAAGTTGAATTGCAGCTTGCACTTAAATTTGTTTTCTACAGAAGGCACCTGTATGGAGATAGATAGATAGATAGATAGATAGATAGATAGATAGATAGATAGATAGATAGATAGATAGATAGATGAAACAATCAAACTGTAGCAAAAACAAGGAATATATCCGATATAATAATACTGAAATAGAAAGAAAGAAAGAAAGAAAGAAAGAAAGAAAGAAAGTATCAGATATAATCATGCTGTGATAGATAGATAGATAGATAGATAGATAGATAGATAGATAGATAGATAGATAGATAGATAGATAGATAGATAGATAGAGGCTGGTCCATCACATTCAGGAAAGCAAGTGTTTTGTTACTTTATTTATTTAACCAATATAACGAGGTAATCCTAAGAGAACTAGAATTCCTTCCCGGATTTATTTTATTAGTAATAATCATAACAGCAGATGATACGCCAATGACACTAAGATTACAGTAGACATACAAGAACTCTTAAAGAACGTAGTAAAGAAAATCTCGAAGATATGACTAAGCATCTATTACAAGAAGACATGGTTGTTAGCTAGATTCACAGCTCCAAATTAGAGATATCAAACTCAAGTATATACAGAACTTTAACTATCAGGTAAGATATTAAGACATACAGGGGAAAATGTGGCACAGAAATCCGAAGATTAAAACAGTGAAATATACGTTCCAAATGCTGAAGATACTATTAGGAAACAGGAAGATTTCGTTAGTGCTGAACTGCCATATAATATCACTTCTTCTATATGATAGCGAATGCTGCAGAATTTAATAAGAGACTTGAGGCAACACGGAATTAGAAAGAGTTACAATTTTAGTATATATAATGTGGAAGGAGGGCTTGGAGACCTTGAAATATGGAAGACAAAAGTGACAGGAGGAAACAGCGACTAACCTACTTTTGTGAGCCGTATGGGTGGCTGTTAATGGTAAAGTACAACTGAAGACTTCAATGTTAAATAAACAGTATTTAATTACAACTTTTTTGTCTAAAAACAGAATACAGCGACCTCTTTCAAATCTTCAAGACTCAATGTTAAATAAACAGTATTTAATTACAACTCTTTTGTCTAAAAAAAGAATACAGCGACCTCTTTCAAATCTTCAAGACTCAATGTTAAATAAACAGTATTTAATTACAACTCTTTTGTCTAAAAACAGAATACAGCGACCTCTTTCAAATCTTCAAGACTCAATGTTAAATAAACAGTATTTAATTACAACTCTTTTGTCTAAAAAAGAATACAGCGACCTCTTTTTCAAATCTTCAAGACTCAATGTTAAATAAACAGTATTTAATTACAACTCTTTTGTCTAAAAACAGAATACAGCGACATCGTTCAAATCTTCAAGACTCAATGTTAAATAAACAGTATTTAATTACAACTCTTTTGCCTAAAAACAGAATACAGCGACCTCTTTCAAATCTTCAAGACTCAATGTTAAATAAACAGTATTTAATTACAACTCTTTTGTCTTAAAACAGAATACAGCGACCTCTTTCAAATCAGTTATCTTGAGTTTGTGTATTTGTTTTGTTATTAAAATTTGTTTCTGGGTTCAACTTCTCCCCCTTCATTGCGTATCATTTATACATTTTTATATATAGAATTTTATAATCGTTAATTTTTATGTCATGTAGTTTTTTTTGTAGGTTCCTTGAGTGTCTGCGGTATTATGGTATATGGAGGATTAAATGATGATGGATGACTTCTTGTGGTGGATGTGTAAACTGTAACGAGTGAATGGATCGTGAATCTAATTAGCAAGGTATAAGATAGTAAGTGACGACCAGCCTCAACCTATTCCCCCTTTTAGGCCTTGTGCCACAATTGGATTTTATATCTCGTATTTACTCACAGCTGCAAATAAATATGTTACACAACAAAAGGAGTAAGAGTCAAGCTTATTAACAACTAACAGTATCGACCATCATAAAGACTGAAAAATAAAATTGACAAAGATTATTGTTTAAGGTTGACGGACACGCATGTCTTAATTAGTTTCATTTTTGTTTTTTGTTTTTTGTTTGTCTTTTTTTTACGAATTGGTCAAACCTAAACTCAAACAAAATCATTGTTTTCAGTCTCTACCAATTGAATAGAATTTTATTATAAACACTTGTCTTGTAAATGGAATTTTTAAAGAATTCTGAATGTAAAAATAAAGAAAAAAGTGTGCAAGAAAATAAGAAACACTACCTGCCAAAAAAAAGTGAAGTTTTGTTGAAAGCGGTTGAAAAATGTAGGAAATCCGATCCCATATATAAACGAACGAACGAACACACACACACACACACACACACACACACACACACACACACACACACACACACACACAACCAGCCTGGGTTTTATAATAAGTATAACTCGATAATTCGATATTAATAAGTATAACTCGATATGAGTTCTCCCCCTTTCATTAATGCCTCTTAATCCTGTTTTCAAATTGATTTCGTGCAAAAACAATTGTGTTTTCGATTTTTGGCGCTGTCAGAACCACCGCAAGGTAATTTTACGTAGTCCTGGGAAGTGTTGTTGAAATCGGTTGAAAAATGTAGGAAATCCGATCCAATATATAAACCTACATACACACACACACAATCTGCGTTTTATAATAAGTAAGATTTCAGTGAATACCTTCGTACTAGTGTGGCGCCCAATAATCACTCAACAATCAACCAATCCCAGTCAGTAACCCGACACCGCTATCTATACACCTGGCGGAAAACATATTTATAAGACCAGAGTGCCACGCTCGAACCTCAGTGTCGGTAGCTACTATTTTCCTCCTATATGACACTTACCAAACGAAATTGTATAAATACGAGGGTGGGCTGAAAAGTTCATAGATTGGCTATGAAAGAAACAATGCACTTATTAAGATGAGTTTGAATTAATGCATGCGAGATTTCACAGCTCTAGCATCAATCATTCGTAGGCAGCCTATGAACTTTTCAGTCCCCCCCCTATATAGAAAAAATGAACTGGGAGGAATTGTAAGGTGACAAATATTGCTTGTAGCTGCAAAGGATAAGTGGTTGTAGAGTAGTATGTTCGCCCAAGCCTCAAGGAATACGTCACATAAGATATGTATATTCGGTTTGAAACTGTTATAGGCTTCCAGACTGACTCTCTACTCCAAACTCTCTACTGTAGGCGACCTTGTACATACATGAATATTTAAACATGTTTGTGTGTCCTCTTTTACAGCTACGAAATAATTTTATTTCAACAATCCAAGAATTAGCCTCCAGAATCAAAACTCAACACTCAGTTGCTCACACACACACATACACACACACACACACACACACAGAACGATCGATATTTTCAAACACTTTCATCACTGAAAATTCATAATCATATTTAATCTGTTTATCATCCATCCACCCACTTTAGGGCATGATTTACATGATTATTTCAACAAATAACTCCAACAGAATCAATCGGCCATGTTGCACGATGACATTCAGTAACCTCTGGGTGTCACACGCATACACATCCAGACTTTAAAACACACACTGAGTTCATGGCAGAGCTGACCAAACTTCTCTCATCAATACATTCGAAAACATCGTTCGATAAAATCATGACGCAGATTATCTGCCATTTTTTATTCTTGTTTTTTAAAGAATGGCACACCTGACGTTCAATATTCGATCTTCCCGCCTTCAATGAAAATCGAATACCTTTAAAGATAGCAAACGCAATTAAATAAATGGTTGTTCATTAGTGCTGCAAATTAGAGATGAAATTAATTAAATATTAGTCTTAAGAATTACGATTTTCTTTTAGATTGAAAGAAGCTTCTAGGCTTACAATTGACAGATCAATTAAGAATTTTTCAGTCGGCGATCTGATAAAAAGAAATCAAACGCCAATAATTAAGTATAAATTATGCCTTTATTTTACAATTTATTGAATTTTATTGAATTTGTTTATTCTTTACCATATTCATAAGCCATCCTCACATCCGGGCATTATTATAAATGAAAACCTGATAGATTGAATTTGGAAAACCGCGAATAACTTTGAAAATTGAATTGCGAAAAGAAGAAATTCGATTAAACGTAACATCTAATATTAAAATGTATCCGTTTCTGCACAATAATGTGCGTGTATTCAAATACTATTTTTGAAATAAAGTGAGGATTATCAAACTATGAGGAATAAAATTGTTTTATTATTTTCATTAAATGAAACATCGTCCAACATCAAGATTCGTCTTTTATTAGTAAATATTTTTATCTCATTCTTTATTTTTTCTTTTTCACTTGGAACATTATTATGTATTTCGATTATTATTTACTACCATATTAATTTCTACATTTTTATTATTTTATTAGGCGAAGCATTGTCAACAATTGTCGGAATTTTTGACTAGTATTTATTTCAATGTCTGTATTTATTGTTATTAAATGAAGTGATGTCAGTAATGATTAAGTATTGACAATTAAACTTTATTTTATTATTGATTAAATAAAGATTTATCAACTGTTATTCTCGTTAATATTTGTGTGTATTCATCTTTTGTATATTATTTCATTAGATGTAACATTGTCAAATATTATAAACTAATGAGTAATATTCACATTAATATTCTGCATGTTTTTTATCATTATTAGAGAAAGTATTATAAAAACATTATTAATTATTGAATAGTATTTTTATCTTATTTTTAATTTTTATGAGTTGCAGTATTTTAAAACATTATTTATATGCTTTGATTAGACTTTAGTTTTATCTAAAATCTATATTCTTTACATTATTAGATGAAACATTATCAACAATTATTAATTATTATTAATTCTCATCTTAATTTGTTTTTTAGCATGTTTTTATATTTACAAGGTTTTTTTCTAATAAAATTTAAAATGCAAGCCGTAAAGTATATCCTAGTATAAAGCTAATAATAATTATTTAAAATTCTTTCTTTAAATAAAAATGAAATATAAAATAAATGAATTAAATTAATGAATGAAAAAGTTGATACTATTTACATCATTCGGATTATTGTATTCATCTTTTTTGCGATATTTATTACAACGTTTCGGCCGTTGTACGCTCCGGCCTTCTTCGTAAGGACACATGGCACAGTGGATAAAGGCGTTGGCTAGATCCAGCGACAGGACCCAAAGAGTTGTGAGTTCAATACCCGGTTAAGACTTTAGAGAACTTGGAGAGGTGAATTAACAGGAGATAACTGATAACTGATATCCATTAGACATTGCACTTGGAACTAGAACAGTCTACCCCAGTAAGTGAAAATAAAGGGTTCAGTTCGACATG